AATAAAATTAATTCTTAAATTTTAAATATGGTTTAAATAAAGGAGTGTCCTTGGTTTTTATTTGGTTAGAGGCAGGAGTTTTAGTTTAAATAATATAAGTATTATAGAAATGTGAATCTTAAGATAGAAATATAGAATAAATATATAAATAGAAATTGCTAAACTATGAATATAAACTTAAATATGAATATATGTAAGTAATATGAAGAGTTGTATTATAGAATATAAATAACATTATACAGCAATATAAATTATAAATGGGAATATAAATATAAAAATATGTAAATATAGTTTAAAAGAAAGGGAGTTTTTTGGCTTTTAGTTAAGTAGAGGCAGGGGTTTTATTTTAAATAAGTGTTACAGAAGTAAAAATCTTGACGCAGAAATATATAATCAATATGTAAAAATATGTATAAAAAATATAAAAATATATAATTAACTACTCGCATCAGATGTAATATAGAATATAAATTTATTTATCAATTGACATTGATAAAGATAAATGTGTAAGTAAGCAATATACATTAATATACATTATAAATACAAATATGAATATAAAAATCAGACATAAGGATAAAACCTATTGAAATATTGTTTAAAAGAAAGGGTTGGGTTTTTTTTTTATTCTATTTGGGTTAGAGGCAGGGTTTTTATTTTAAATAATATGAATGTAGATATTATTGTTATATATTTCTAAATATTGAGATATATAATCAAGATATAAATGTATATATAAACACAAAATATAAGTAAGTACAGATAATAGGAAGAGATGTGATGGAGAATACAAATAACAGTATACATAAGTATACATGTTAAATGTAAATGTGAATATGAACCTGAAAAATAGAATTTTTAAAAAATATTTAAATACAGTTGAGAAGAAAGGGGTTCTTTTTGGCTTTAACGTGGGTTGGGGCAGGGGTTTTCTTTTAAATACTGTAAGTGTTACAGAAGTAAAAATCCTAACACAAATAAATATATAATAAATATTTAAAGATATGAATAAAAATATTTGAATAAAATATAAATAATAGGAACAGATGTAACATAGAATATAAATTTATAAATAAATCAGAAAATATAAATGTAAAATTGAACATAGATCAGTATACATTTTAAATGTAAATGTGGATATAAATTCGAAATTATTTTTTTTTTTAATTTAAATACGCTTGAAATGAAAGGGGTTTTTATTTGGCATGTATGGGTAGAGGCAGGGGTTTTATTTTGAATACTGTATGTGTTACAGAAGTAAAAATCCTAACCGAAATATTACTTACTATGCAAAAATATGTGTAAAAATATACAAATAAATTTAAGTTTTAGGGATATATGCAATATAGAATATAAATGTATTTATAAAATGAAATGGATAAATGGACAGTATACATCAATATACATTATAAACAGAAATGTGAATATTAATATGAAAAAATATTTTTTAAAATATTTAAATATTTTTAAGAGAAATTGTTGGGGGTTTTTTTCTTTTGTTTTGTTTTTTATCCTATTAAATTACAGGCAGAAGTTTTTTTCCTCTTCCCGGTTGTTTTGGGGCATTTATTTCAGAGCAGTTTTTGTCGGGGGTCGCCCTTGTTCTTTTTTGCCGCCTTCCCTGCCCGCAGCCCCGAGGCACGCTGCGCCCCTGGCTGGGGCGGGCAGCAGTGCTGCCGCCTTGTGGGCAGAGCGCGGTACTGCAGCCCTGCACAGAGAGGCCGCCACCTTGGGAGTGGCTTGTCGCGGACTTTTCCTTGACCTTCTCAACATGGCAGCGAAAAGGGCGGGGAAGTGGAGGACCACGGTGGGTGTAACTGGACTGCCTGCATGGAATACCGACGTCATGGCGGCCCGATGGATTTTTCTGTGGCGTTTCAAGTGTATCCGACACATGCCGTGGGCTCAGCGGCGCCGCGGGCAGGCGTATTTTTGCGGGTTTGTGACAGGCATCTGGGTAAACGCCTCTCTGTGCCGGGGTCCTCTTATCGCCGGCTTTCCCGCCCTCAGGGAGCCGACCCGGGCCGAATTGTTCCGAAGAGCCGAAGAGCCGAGGGTGGCCGAAAAGAGCCGACTTGAGCCGAAGAGGCGAGTGTAGCCAAAAACAGCCGAGTTTACCCGAAGAGCCGAGTGTAGCCGAAAACAGCTGAGTGTAGCCGAAAACAGCTGAGTTTACACCAACAGCAGATGATAGCCAACTGTAACCGATAGCCGAGTGTAGCCGACATTGGCCGCGTTTAGACCATGTGCCGAATATGACCGAGTTTAGCCGAACCGTGCTGAGTTCAGCCCAAGAGCTGAACTGAAACGAGTTTAGACCAAGAGCCGAACCAAGCTGAATTCAGCCGAGTTTAATTAAACAAAACCGAACGACGCCGCAGCGCTCTGCCTGCAGTGCGCCGGGGCAGACAGCAGGGGGCGCTGTATAAAGAAAGTATAAAATATCAACTATCTATAAGAAGGAATAAAAGCTCTATGTCACGTGCAGCATTAAAAAATTTCAGGCTCCCAGGGAATAAATAGTTTTCTTTAAATAATTTTCATTTTGGAGGTTTTTTTTACTCCCAGGTAGCCTGAAAGTTTCTACTGCTGATTTTTTATTCTAAAGCTAGAAAGGAAAACCAAGATCAGAAATAGAAGAAAAGGAAAGGAAAAGGGAAAGGAAAGGAAAAGGAACAGGGAAAGGAACAGGGAAAGGAAAGGGAAGGGAAGGGAAGGGAAGGGAAGGGAAGGGAAGGGAAGATAATGTTCTGGGAAGGGAAGGTTCCGGGAAGGGAAGGGAAGGTTCCAGGAAGGGAAGGGAAGGGAAGGGAAGGGAAGGGAAGGGAAGGGAAGGGAAGGAAAGGAAAGGAAAGGAAAGGAAAGGAAAGGAGAGGAAAGGAAAGGAAAGGAAAGGAAAGGAAAGGAAAGGAAAGGAGAAAGGAAAGGAGAAAGGACAGGAGAAAGGAAAGGAGAAAGGAGAGGAGAAAGGAGAGGAGAGGGAAAGGGAAGGAAAGGGAAAGGGAAAGGAAAAGGAAAAGGAAAAGGAAAAGGAAAAGGAAAAGGAAAAGGAAAAGGAAAAGGAAAAGGAAAAGAAGCAGGAGAGCAAGAGGGAAGGGAAGGGGTGAAAACAGAGTAAAAAAAGAAAAAAGAGTTGGAGGGAAAAAGAGAGGGCATTCGGGAGGAGCGGTGCTGCCTCAGGTCCTTCCCCGCCCAGGGGTGAAGGTCCCGTTTGATGCCCGGGAGGGACTGCAGCTCCCGATGGCGTGGGACGGAGCCGTGGCTGTCAGCCCGAGACTACAACTCCCGGCAGGCCCTGCTGCCGGCGCGGCGTGTGACGCAACAGCTGACGCGGCACATGAGTGGCTGGCATGCCAGGCGGCCGCGCGGGGCTGTGCGCTGGCAGCTCCCGCGCAGGACGGCGCCGCGGCAGCGTAGCTGGAGGGGCGAAGCCTCCGTCTGGCCGCCCGCACGGCGCTGAGCATCGCGGAAAGGGCGTCCGCCGAGTTCCTCGGCCTCACTCAGCGGTGCCGGGGGCGGGGGCGCTGCCGCCTGCCGATGGTGGAGGGCGAGGCGGTGCTTTGCTGCCGCGGGCCGGGAGCTGCAGGAGCCGCCCCGGGCAAGCAGCGCCAGGCGTTCCCGCGGTCCCGGTGGGGCGGCTGCCCTCAGGCTGGCAGAGGCGCAGCAGCCCCCGAGCTGCAGCCGTCTCCCTCGGGCTGCTGCCGGTGCTGCGGGCGGAGGTGGCTCCGCCGCGTGTTGGGCGTTGCGAGCAGAGAGTGCTGCAATATCGCCGGAATGACAGGGCTGCTGGCTGCCTTAGTGCTCGTGGCTCTTTCTTCCATGAAAACGGATGGAGCGGCGCTGACCGGTAAACCCAGAGATGGCCAGAAGAATGCCCAGCGCAGGCAGCAGGCGGGCTGTATCCTTCGGATGGCACAGGTGCGATCTGCAAACTCACCCCCTTACGCCCCTGCCCTCCGGAGCCCCATGGAAAATGCTTTCCAACATTGTCGAGCTTCTGAAAGACAAGACTTGTGATTTGACACTAGCATCCAGAAAAGGTTTCTGTCTAGATTAGCAAATGCCTAAATTGTTCTTGGTTACATCCCATGACCGGTTTTATGCAGTGACTTTATACTGCTTTTAGGATTTTCTTGTACAATGGTGAGAAAATAGGCAGGTCTGGTACTGGTTCTTTTTTTCTACTTCACATTCCATGAGATTCTTTTATCCAAGCACTTGTTTTAAAATTCTACTGTAGGCGTTTATGGTTCACTTTTTTTTTCTTTGCAGCACCCGTGACTTTTTTTTTTGTCTAAATCGACAGTAAATATAACTGAGTAAAATTACCTTGGTTTTCTTCCTTCTTTTTTAACTGAATGGTTTTTATTAAAAATCCTATTTGAATATGTAGAAAAAGTGGGTATGTCCTGTAATATATCCTAGCTTTTCTTGTTTACAGGGTACTCAGAAAATATGTCTCCCTTAGAGTCCCACAGAAACATTCTCAGGGTGATCTCTATCAAGGTATGTATTTACAAATAAGTGATCCCTTTAGATATTTGCCTGTGTACCTTTTCCTGTAATTCAGAGCTTGCGTTCTGTGGGTTTTATGATAAACCTATAAAACATGTAAAAATGGTTTTGCAAGTCTTAATCGTTGAAAGCAGCAATAAGTGGATTTAGAGCCTGTTCTTGACCAGACAAAGGGAAAAAGTGTGACTTTGATGCTGAACTTGTCATTTTTCATTTGACTTGTCTTGAATTATTTAGGAATAGAGAGAACTAGAAAAAGAGAGAAATAGAATTGGTTATTGAGCACTCCTCAAATGCTCACCATGATTCAGTGTAGAGCTGAAGGGAAGGGTGATGGAACAGAGCTCTGTGCTTTAGAAGGAAATAAATTTAAACCTGACCTCCACACAGAGTCTAACTTAGTCTAACAACTAACTTCTGTTGTTTTAAAATACAAAATAGGTTTAGGAATGTTGGAAGTTAGTATTTTGGGGAAGAAATGGCAGTTCCACAGAACATTCCATTTAACAGAGGCTCTCGGAACGATTCATTTTGTAACTGCTGTCACTGCAATCAGTTGGTGGTTCAGCCTTGAAATGTGCACTCGCCCTTCTATAAAGCACTGTTTTGTTTGCCTTTCAGTGCTATGAGTCTTGATAAATTGGAGAAGAGCCCAAGAGAAATTTTTCATCACTTGATAAAAAAGGTAGGAAGTGACTTTTTTTGGTTTGGTTCTTTTTCTTTATTATTTTCTGGAAATAAAAGTAATTAAGTATAGGTACTACTGGTTTGTTTCTTCCAGTAGCAGGTGATAATAATAGTAGTAGTAACAGTAAAAATAATAATAGAAATAATAATAGTAATGTAATACTACTTAAACTGTCTTTATCCATTGAACTGGCCATTTCAAATCAAAACTTCTAAACACAAATCAAACCATCATCCTTGTAGAATCTTTCACAGCAGTGGCCTAAAGATCTTGGTTTTGTTGACAGGGTTTATTGGTTCTGGAAGAACAAGAGGGAAGTACAAGTCTAACTACTTCTAGCTCACAGACCCGTCCAGTGAATACAGCTTTTTATTTTGATGGGCTTGTGATGACTTTGAAATCAGTTGGTCATTACAGTAAAAAAAATTAATGTTTTTTTGAACATGACAGCAGAAATAACTTTAAGCACCAACTTAATAATAATAGATCACCAATTTAAGTTAAAAATTCATGCTATACTATCAAAATTTAAAGGTAAATTATTATGTATTAGGTGATGGTATAAAGTGTATGTTCTAATGTGTAGGATGTATGCAAAGATGCATATCTGAAAGTCCTTAGAGGAAACAAATTTTTATGTCTGCTGTTTGACTGTTTATCATACAATATTTGGTTTTATTTCCCAGGGATCGGTGAATTTTAACTTTGGAGTCCTCTATGCTAAGGATGCTCAGCTTACAGATGATGAAATGTTCAGTAATGGTGAGTTTTTCACCTTCTCTTTAATTGCTACGCTGATCTGAATAAGAAAAAACAAAAGCAAGAGAAAAAAAAAGGATGGTTTATTATTTTTTACACTGTTATGTTTGTTTCCTCAGTATTTGCTGCAGCTCTGCTTACCCAAGCTTTGGGTTCCTTCTGTCCCACTGGGAGTTGCCCAGTTTGGTTGCATCTGGTGAAATTCACCCTGAGACCTTACAGAACTAGCTCAAACTACATGAGAGCCATTTGCAGTTCTCTCCAGACACCTGGAGAATGGGTGATGTTTCTGAGGATCTGGCAAGTATACTTCTATCAAAACTCAGTCTGTGAAATTTCTGGGGAAAACCCTTCTGTGTCCTGAAGGGTTCAAACTCTGGTGAGGATCCAGTTATCAGGTGCTCACCTGGATGGTTCCAGCTCTTAAAGTGAACACTTGTACTCTTGCCCTGTAGTTTATATGTATTGTATTTTTGTTATTTTGCAAGATTTTACAGCTTTGCAAAATACTGGGCATTTCACTCTTTGGAACCTCTCAGATCGTTCTTTGGTGCAGCACCACCTCATGGGACACTTGGCTGCTGTCCTGAAGGGGTTGGTCGCTAGAATTGTAAATCCTGGAGAGTTTATAAGTCTTCTGTCCCCAGGGAGGTATCATGCTTTGTTTACTTTTGTTCTGTTTGTTAGGCACTGCTTCTCGTTGGAAGTATGAATTTCAAACTACCCTGTTCTTTTTTTAACAGTTTTCCTGGTTCTCTCCGTACGGCAGGGAAAGACTCTCGTATCCTTGTCGTCAGGCTCGGTGCTGTCCAAGAAGATACAGAGACTAAAAAAATCATAAGAAGCAAAATATGACTGCAGGGAAAACAAGCTGGAGAGAACAAAAGGTGATATTGTTATCCTTACCCTGTATTAGAAACATCCACTGTGCTTTGATGCTGGTAGCTGCCAGAGGCTTGTTAGCTCTTTGTAGGCAGGTGTAGGTGTTCACTTGTAGGCTTTTTCTCTGGACAAGTCAATTCAAACTTTGCTAAGCTTATATTTGCAGATTACTCTCTAGCACAGTCCAGCATGACATTTTTGAATATTGTAAAAATACCATGTTACTTGGAAATTGCTAATAATGAGAAGCCTTAGGGAAAAATAAGATTTCAGGGTTGGGAGACGTGAGAAGAATTTTGTGGGGATGTTAGACTGAAATAAAGCACACTTGAAGCTGGACTGGCACGCTGGCAGATCCCCTATTAAACAGTAGTGCTTAGATTAGCCTGGGGGTTGCCCATTGTTTCTGTAGAAATCAATGTTTCCTGGTCTTCAGAAGTAAGCTGCTTTGAAAAGCTGGAAGGTGCAGCATAGTGACAATCCGTGTGCTTTGGATTAAAAGTAGATTTCAGAAGGGTCCTAAGCCTTTGTCATTTCCTCGAAGTCGATGTAATCGTATTGAGGAGTTTTTAATTCTGTGCTGCCATGTCATCGATCAGGGCCCTGTCGTACTAATCATCATACAGATACAAAACAAAAAATCAGACCCTGTCCCAACCACTTAGAGCCCAGAACACGATTTCCTCAGGCTGCCATTTGTGTGCCATCGGTACTCACCACGGAAGTGAGCTGGGGATTGTTGCAGCTGTTGGGAACAAACCGCTTCTCGTCACACAGAAATGGAATTGGGATGACGCCTCGGCCAGCCCCTCTCTGCCATCGTCTCCTGAATCTGCAGCAGAGCAGTTCCAGTCCATCCGGGCACGTGTAATCCAGTTCCTGATGATCTGAGCACACGGAGCAGCACTCAGCTGCTGTGGGGGGCTCAGGGAAGGCAGAGTGTGCATTGTCATCTTCCTGAACCTACAGACGAATCAAAGTGAGAAGCTACAGCGTGGAAATCAGTCGCATATATGCTAAATAAAACTTGCAGATTTTTTAAAGAATTGTTTCTGCTTGTTCTTTGTTGTGCTTCAGCGCTTAGAAAACCTCTCTTTAAAATCAGTTCAGTTCATCAGTTGAACTTTTGTTTGCAGACCCTTGCTGAGCAGAATTTGTTGCAGACTCAGTGCACACTGTGCTGGCCTCCCGGGAGTGTGAGGAGCTCATGTGTGCTACTTTTTGCTTTAGGACACTCTGAGGTATTTATTCCTTTTGGGATACATGATGAGAATTCCCAAGAGAGGTAGTTATAAGGTATGACATCGTGAAAAAGCCTGTGTGGTTGCAATGTTGTTGCTCTCAAAAGTTAATTTTTTCTTAGCCAGTAGTTAGCTTTTTGCTTTATTTTTGTGGTATCAGTATTTTATTGTTTAAAAAATTGCTTCAAAATAACTTCAGTGGCTGGCCATCGGTACCTTGTTCAGATTTGCCTGTTTGCTTGTACTTAAAATGTTCACATCTTGTTTATCCTTCTATTTAAGAAACTGCTGCCCAGCCAACTAATAACTGAATATCTATCTGTCTGGGACACGGGGAGAGGATTTAGGTAATGTCTTTGTTTCCGGAAAAAAGTTGTAGTGTAGTTTCAAAGTAGAGGAGAAGGGGGTGAAGACTCTGATGCTGTTGGAGCACCCCAAGGTCCCCAGGAGAAGGAGCCCCACTGGGCTGCAGGAGCAGGTTTGTTCTCATGTAATATTGAACAAATTATAAATATAAATATGAAAATTATAAATATAAAAATATATTTTAAATAAATAAAACGGGCTTTTTTTATTTGTCAATAGGCAGGGTTTTGATTATAAAAATTAAAAATACAAATAATATAAAGGTAGAAATGTTAGTATAGGAACATATCATAAATAAATACAGATATATAGAGATATATATATATATATATAAAGTTTAAAAACAAGAAAAAAATAGTAGCAGTAGATATGATACATAATATAAATAATAATTTAAATCCATTTGTAGAATTTTATATATATTATATGTAATTATTAATACACTGCATCAAAAGAAACTATAAATATAAATGTGGATATAATTATACTAAGTATAAAATATTTCAATATCGTTTGAAAAAAGGTGGGTTTTTGTATTTATTTGGTTAGAGATGGGGGGTTTATTTTAAATAAAAGAAGTATTTTAGAAATATAAATCTAAGTCTAGAAATATACAGTCAATATAGAAAGATATTTGTAAAAACATGAGCGAACGACGCCTCCTTCGGCCGAATGGAACGAGCTCAGCCGAACCAAGGCGAGACCAGCCGAACCTGACGGCCTCGAGCGAATCGAGGCCAGGCTTGCGAGGCTGCCTGAACCGAGCCGAGCTCAGCCGAACCGAGCCCGCTGCTCTCGTGCGCGCTAATTAGCGCGAGTGCGGTCACAGCGTAATGAGCTCCTGTGCCACCCCGCGCTCCCGGTCGTGTCCGTGCGATGGCCGGGCCGCCCGCGGGACACGGCAGCAGGAGAGCCCCGAGCCAGGCGAGTTAAACGTGAGGCGGCGCCGCTTGCCCGCCCTCAGGGAGCCCCGAGCCGAGCTGAGCTCAGCCGAACGCACAGAGAGCGGCTCCGAGTTCGGCCGAATGAAGCCGAGCCGCGCCGAAGGCACAGAGAGCTGCTCCGAGTTCGGCTGAAGCGAGCCAAATGCACGGAGAGGCTCCGAGTTCGGCCGAAGCGAGCCGAGCCGCGCTGAACGTACAGAGAGCGGCTCCGAGTTCACACGAAGCGAGCCGAGGCGTGCCGAGCGCACAGAGCGGCTCCGAGTTCGGCCGAAGCGAGCCGAGGCGGGTTGAAGAGTCGAATACAGCCGAATTTAGCCGAAAATAGCCGAGTTTAGCCAATTACAGCCAAATTTAGCCGAGCAGCTGTGAGCCTTGAGGTGAGCGTGCATCATTGCCGGTTTGGGATTGAGTGAAATGCACTAAGGAAACCAGCTTTGGGGAGGGAGGCAGGGAAATCCTCTCTTAACATTTACCAATTCTTCTGTCAAACTCATCACGGCAGGACAGCGTGAAGACTGAAAGTGTAAGAAGATGTGGAGGGAAACAGAGAATCTGACAGGAGCATCAAACGCACAAGTGAAGGAATTTTGCTTTTTGCTTGGATGTAAACTCAGAAGTTGTAAGGAATTTGGGAATGAGAAGGGACATTTCAGAAGGAGAAGGAGAAGAAGTAACTTGTTGTTACAGTCCTGGCAAAAGCTTTTGTTCTAGCTAATAAAAGAAGTTAGTTTAAATTTAAAAAAAAAAAGTGGTTTTTTTTATTTTCTTCACTTTTATATTCATTGGTGGTATATGGTGTGTTGTTTTATTTCTTGGTCTTATTAACTCTGTGTAAATTGTTTTTTGAGTGAAGCTGACTTTCTGGATGGGTTGGTTTGTATTTGAGGTAGGATTAATTTCAATAGGTTTCTTTCATACACTTCTGATAGCTATTACTGGGATTTTGGTTTTGTTTACTGTATGTGTAAACATACAGATTTGGTAGCACCAGCTCTGCTGCTGGAGTTTTGAGTGTGAATTTACTAGATGGCCTTTGCTAAACACAGAATAATTATGTAAGGTAACAGCAAATTACCCAATTTCCCAATTTATCTAGCTATGTAACCTCACCACAAAGTTTTATATATTACCAGTTTTCTGTTCTTCTGCTCCAAGTAGTTGATGCAAAAAAGAAAGCGCCGTTATTTCTCTGAAGAGCTTTCTTCTATAGCAAGCTCTTTACTGCCCTTGAATCTGAGTCAGAGGAGCCAAACAGCTGCAGCTGCTCTGAGGGCTTTTATACCCGGTGGGATTCGCTCCCTCCCTTTTCCTGGGTGCCATGGGAACGAGAGGCGGGCACCATCAGGGGTATATTAACCCCAGCCTTGGCTGAGGGGCTTCATTCCCTGTCTGGGATGTGCTGGGGTGAGGGCTCTCCTCTCATTTCAGTGAAGAGGCTCTTTCAGCTTATCTCAGGTTGTTTCCAGCAGGTGTTTCTGGGCATCTAAAGCACAGAGGCTTGGAAGAGACTGTGAAGAAAACACCATGGAATACAGGGAGCATTTAGGTTTGTGATTTTGGGTTTGGTGTTTAGGGGTAAGGTGCTTTTGTAATTTATGGTTTTGCTCTTTTTTTTTTTTTTCTTGGATTTTTTTGGTGGAATTTTTGGGGTTTTTTTGTTTTCTTTTTGGGGTTTTTGGTTGATTTTCATTGGTTTTTTGGGTTTTTTTGGTTTTTGTAGGTTTGGTTTTTTTGGGGGGGTTCTGTGGGGTTTTTTTGTTTTTGTTGGGGTTTGGGGGGTTTTTTTTGTTTGTTTGTTTTGTTTTTGTGGGTTTTCAGGTTTGGCTTTTTTTGTTTTTGGGGTTGTGGGTTTTTTGTTTGTTTGTTTGTTTGTTTTTGTTTTGGTGGTGGGGGGGTGTATTTGAGGAGTGCAACTCCCTGAAAATCCAAGCTGTGTAAAGCACAACATTTTTTTCAGCAGATTCATCATATCACAAGAGGGATCTGCCCCGTGTTGAAATTGGGGCTTCAGGTGAGTTGAGGATTGTGACTGGGAGAGGGAAGGTGAGCAGGTATCCAGTTAGGAGTTATTGTCAGCTGGGAGAGGTTTGAAGGCAGCAGGGTGAGAAAGGGTGTTTATTTGTTTATTTCAGGGCCCCTGCACACAAGGCTTCTCAGAAGCCTAGCAGAGGCATTGCCATGTCTTACAGGACACAACGTCATCCACTGCACTCACAGGAATGCCATTTAACTTTGCCTTTCTCTGACCCTGGTGCCACTCCTAATAAAGGCCACAGCCTTGGACTCAGGATGAAGCTGGAGCCTGAAGGAGCCAGGCACACTCAGGAGAGGGCAAGTAGCTGCCTTGCTGGGATTTGGCCCACATAACTCTGGACTCATACTTTGGTTTTGGTTTTCTTTATTGTAGCTGACCGAGAGGCTCACAGGTGATCACGGGGCCCTCCGAGGCAGACTCATTTCAGGTGCAACGTGGATTCCCATCACCGATCATCCAAAAGATAAGTTGGTGGCCAAGGCTTGGAGATGGGAGAGTAGCAGGTTGGGTGTTCTTGTGACAAATTTAAAATTTAGCAGAGGAAAAGCAATCTTCTGCAAGGGCCTCCTAGGACAGCTAAAGGGAGAGGCACTACTTTTGATGGCAGCTTTCAGGCGGGCAGTGCAGAACAGCTCTGGTTTGTGTTGTGTTGTCCTGTTTTGCAGAGAAAAGAAGAAATCTCACAACTTAATAAAAGTTGTAAAGCCCGGTGTGCCTTTATTACGACACGCGCCAGACGCAGGCCCCCCCAAAAAGGCATGCGTACCCCTGAAGACTTCAGGTCTCCTTTTTCCCCCTTCCAAATGCATATGCATACAGTTTCACAATAAGTTCATACATATTCATTCCGCATGACATTTATCACCAATTCTCCTTTATCAAAGGAATTCTTAGGTGGGGGGGCAAATTGACCTTGTGGTCATTTCTGTTTTTCTTTCTCTGTCGTCTTGCTGTCTCAGGCATCTGACTTTTCCTTCAGCTTTGGCCTCACAGACTTTTCACCTCTCTTAGACACTTCACCTAATTCAGAATGGATCTCTACTCTGTCTCAGTCCAGTGTGGCGTGTTCCCTAGTGTGTCTTTGGGGTCCCTTTTGCCTTCTCCCCTCGAGGCCCTCACCACAAGCATGATGTGTCGTGTTTAATGTCCCCCTGTTTGTCACGTTCTGTGTCACGGGTGTCTGCACACATTTGTGCCGGAGCTGTTCTGCCCTGCCGCATGGCCTGCTGCAAAAGGACAAGCCTGGGGAGCTGGAATTTGTAATGTGGGGTGTAATTGGGCTCTAGATGCTATTCCTAGATTGATATAAGGTGTTTGCAGCTTGTGAGTTATCCTGGAGGTGTTTGACATATGTTCTAGCTTTCTTTCAGGTGCAGATGCATTGCATCCTTGGCAGTGGGTCAGGGTTAGGAGGTGCCGGGCCTTCTTAGGAGCACAGTGAGTAGCAGACTGGGGGCGTT